GGGTGGAGGTGCTCCAGCAGTGTTGTGGAGCCTAGTGGAGCTCCAGTAGTGTTGTGGAGCCTATTTTGGCTCCAGTAGTGTTGTGAACCCTGTTGGGGATCCTAGCGGTGCTCCATTAGTGTTGTGAATCCTAGGGGGCTCCAGTAGTGTTGTGGATCCTAGTGGGGCTCCAGTAGTGTTGTGGATCCTAGTGGGGCTCCAGTAGTGTTGTGGAGCCTAGTGGGGTTCCAGTAGTGTTGTGGAGCCTAGTGGGGTTCCAGTAGTGTTGTGGAGCCTAGTGGGGTTCCAGTAGTGTTGTGGAGCCTAGTGGGGTTCCAGTAGTGTTGTGGAGCCTAGTGGGGTTCCAGTAGTGTTGTGGAGCCTAGTGGGGTTCCAGTAGTGTAGTGGAGCCTAGTGGGGTTCCAGTAGTGTAGTGGAGCCTAGTGGGGTTCCAGTAGTGTAGTGGAGCCTAGTGGGGCTCCAGTAGTGTTGTGGATCCTAGTGGGGCTCCAGTAGTGTTGTGGATCCTAGTGGGGCTCCAGTAGTGTTGTGGATCCTAGTGGGGCTCCAGTAGTGTTGTGGATCCTAGTGGGGCTCCAGTGTTGTGGATCCTAGTGGGGCTCCAGTAGTGTTGTGGATCCTAGTGGGGCTCCAGTAGTGTTGTGGATCCTAGTGGGGCTCCAGTAGTGTTGTGGATCCTAGTGGGGCTCCAGTAGTGTTGTGGATCCTAGTGGGGCTCCAGTAGTGTTGTGGATCCTAGTGGGGCTCCAGTAGTGTTGTGGATCCTAGTGGGGCTCCAGTAGTGTTGTGGACCTAGTGGGGCTCCAGTAGTGTTGTGGATCCTAGAGGGGCTCCAGTAGTGTTGTGGATCCTAGAGGGGCTCCAGTAGTGTTGTGGATCCTAGAGGGGCTCCAGTAGTGTTGTGGAGCCTAGTGGGGTTCCAGTAGTGTTGTGACCTAGAGTGGTCAGTAGTGTTGTGGAGCTCCTAGTAGGGGCTCCAGTAGTGTTGTGGATCTAGAGGGCTCCAGTAGTGTTGTGGATCCAGGGGCTCCAGTAGTGTTGTGATCCTAGAGGGGCTCCAGTAGTGTTGTGGATCCTGAGGGGCTCATTTAGTGTTGTGGAGCCTGTGGGGTTCAGTAGTGTGTGGATCTAGTGGTTCCAGTAGTGTAGTGGAGCCTAGTCGTGTCCAGTAGTGTTGTGGAGGCTGGTGGGGCTCCAGTAGTGTTGTGGAGGCTGGTGGGGCTCCAGTAGTGTTGTGGAGGCTGGTGGGGCTCCAGTAGTGTTGTGGAGGTGAGGGTTAGTAGTGTTGATGAGTTGTGGGGGCTCAGTGTGTTTGGAGCGTTGTTGCTGCAGTAAGGTGTATTGAAGCCTTGTTGGGGCTAGTAAGTGTGTTGGATTCAGTTGTTACTAGTAAGTGTAGTGAATCTTGGTGCTCCAGTAAGTGTAGTGAAGCAGTGTTGCTCAGTAGGTGTAGTTGAAGCAGTTGTTGCTGAGTTGAAGGTTGGTTAAAAGCTTTGTGACAGAGTCAAAACTGTAGTATTGAAGCAGTTGTTGCTGGGAAGGTGTAGTTGAAGCAGTTGTTGCTGAGTGAAGGTGTAGTTGAAGCAGTTGTTGCTGAGCGAAGGTGTAGTTGAAGCAGTTGTTGCTGGGGGAAGGTGTAGTTGAAGCAGTTGTTGCTGGGGGAAGGTGTAGTTGAAGCAGTTGTTGCTGAGTGAAGGTGTAGTTGAAGCAGTTGTTGCTGAGTGAAGGTGTAGTTGAAGCAGTTGTTGCTGAGTGAAGGTGTAGTTGAAGCAGTTGTTGCTGAGTGAAGGTGTGTTGAAGCAGTTGTTGCTGAGTGAAGGTGTAGTTGAAGCAGTTGTTGCTGAGTGAAGGTGTAGTTGAAGCAGTTGTTGCTGAGTGAAGGGTAGTGAAGCAGTTGTTGCTGAGTGAAGGTGTAGTTGAAGCAGTTGTTGCTGAGTGAAGGTGTAGTTGAAGCAGTTGTTGCTGAGTGAAGGTGTAGTTGAAGCAGTTGTTGCTGAGTGAAGGTGTAGTTGAAGCAGTTGTTGCTGAGCAAAGGTGAAGCAGTTGTTGCTGAGGAAGGTTTTGAAGCAGTTGTTGCTGAGGGGAAGGTGTAGAGAGCAGTTGTTCGCTGAGCGAAGGTGAAGCAGTTGTTGCTGAGGTAAGGTGTAGTTGAAGCAGTTGTTCGCTGAGGAAGGTGATAAGCAGTTGTTGCTGAGTGAAGGTAGGAAGCAGTTGTTGCTGAGTGAAGGTGTGTTGAAGCAGTCGTTGCTGAGTGAAGGTGTAGTTGAAGCAGTTGTTGCTGAGCAAAGGTGAAGCAGTTGTTGCTGAGCAAAGGTGAAGCAGTTGTTGCTGAGCGAAGGTGAAGCAGTTGTTGCTGAGCGAAGGTGAAGCAGTTGTTGCTGAGCGAAGGTGAAGCAGTTGTTGCTGAGCGAAGGTGAAGCAGTTGTTGCTGAGCGAAGGTGAAGCAGTTGTTGCTGAGCGAAGGTGAAAGCAGTTGTTGCTGAGGAAGTGAGAAGCAGTTGTTCGCTGAGCGAAGGTGAAGCAGTTGTTGCTGAGTGAAGGTGAAGCAGTTGTTGCTGAGGGAAGTGTGGAAGCAGTTGTTGCTGAGCGGGTGAAGCAGTTGTTGCAGGCGAAGGTGAAGCAGTTGTTGCTGAGCGAAGGTGAAGCAGTTGTTGCTGAGGGAAGGTGTAGTTGAAGCAGTTGTTGCTGGGGGAATGTGTAGTTGAAGCAGTTGTTGCTGGGTGAAGGTGTAGTTGAAGCAGTTGTTGCTGAGTGAAGGTGTAGTTGAAGCAGTTGTTCGCTGAGTGAAGGTGTAGTTGAAGCAGTTGTTCGCTGAGTGAAGGTGTAGTTGAAGCAGTTGTTGCTGAGTGACGGTTTTAGTTGAAGCAGTTGTTGCTGAGTGAAGGTGTAGTTGAAGCAGTTGTTGCTGAGTGAAGGTGTAGTTGAAGCAGTTGTTGCTGAGTGAAGGTGTAGTTGAAGCAGTTGTTGCTGAGTGAAGGTGTAGTTGAAGCAGTTGTTCGCTGAGTGACGGTGTAGTTGAAGCAGTTGTTGCTGAGTGAGGTGTAGTTGAAGCAGTTGTTGCTGAGTGAACGGTGTAGTTGAAGCAGTTGTTGCTGAGTGAAGGTGTAGTTGAAGCAGTTGTTCGCTGAGTGAAGGTGTAGTTGAAGCAGTTGTTGCTGAGTGAAGGTGTAGTTGAAGCAGTTGTTGCTGAGTGAAGGTGTAGTTGAAGCAGTTGTTGCTGAGTGACGGTGTAGTTGAAGCAGTTGTTGCTGAGTGAAGGTGTAGTTGAAGCAGTTGTTGCTGAGTGACGGTGTAGTTGAAGCAGTTGTTCGCTGAGTAAACGGTGTAGTTGAAGCAGTTGTTGCTGAGTGAAGGTGTAGTTGAAGCAGTTGTTGCTGAGTGAAGGTGTAGTTGAAGCGGGTTGTTCGCTGAGTGAAGTGTAGTTGAAGCAGTTGTTCGCTGAGTAAACGGTGTATTTTGAAGCAGTTGTTCGCTGAGTGAAGGTGTAGTTGAAGCAGTTGTTCGCTGAGTGAGGTGTAGTTGAAGCAGTTGTTCGCTGAGTAAACGGTGTAGTTGAAGCAGTTGTTCGCTGAGTGAAGGTGTAGTTGAAGCAGTTGTTCGCTGAGTGAAGGTGTAGTTGAAGCAGTTGTTCGCTGAGTGACGGTGTAGTTGAAGCAGTTGTTGCTGAGTGAAGGTGTAGTTGAAGCAGTTGTTGCTGAGTGACGGTGTAGTTGAAGCAGTTGTTCGCTGAGTGAAGGTGTAGTTGAAGCAGTTGTTCGCTGAGTGAAGGTGTAGTTGAAGCAGTTGTTCGCTGAGTGACGGTGTAGTTGAAGCAGTTGTTCGCTGAGTGAAGGTGTAGTTGAAGCAGTTGTTCGCTGAGTGAAGGTGTAGTTGAAGCAGTTGTTGCTGAGTGAAGGTGTAGTTGAAGCAGTTGTTCGCTGAGTGAAGGTGTAGTTGAAGCAGTTGTTCGCTGAGTGAAGGTGTAGTTGAAGCAGTTGTTGTTGAGTGGAAGGTGTAGTTGAAGCAGTTGTTCGCTGAGTGAAGGTTTAGTTGAAGCAGTTGTTGCTGAGTGAAGGTGTAGTTGAAGCAGTTGTTCGCTGAGTGAAGGTGTAGTTGAAGCAGTTGTTCGCTGAGTGAAGGTGTAGTTGAAGCAGTTGTTCGCTGAGTGAAGGTGTAGTTGAAGCAGTTGTTCGCTGAGTGAAGGTGTAGTTGAAGCAGTTGTTGCTGAGTGAAGGTGTATTTTGAAGCAGTTGTTGCTGGGGAAGGTGTAGTTGAAGCAGTTGTTACTGAGTGAAGGTGTAGTTGAAGCAGTTGTTCGCTGAGTGAAGGTGTAGTTGAAGCAGTTGTTCGCTGAGTGAAGGTGTAGTTGAAGCAGTTGTTCGCTGAGTGAAGGTGTAGATGAAGCAGTTGTTATTGAGTGAAGGTGTAGTTGAAGCAGTTGTTACTGAGTGAATAACTTTGGCCGGGTGCAGAGCCGGAGGCTCTGGCGAGAAGATAGCTCAAGTCTTGAAACCTGTGGCCAGAAGCTGACTGTTCTAGGAGTGGTCGACAATGAACTCGATTCTATACTCATAAGTTAATTTTCCATTTCATCAGGTAATTGTATTTCCCTGTCTCGGTTATCTTCGTATCAGATCCTTTTCTCTTTGACTAAGTGTATTGTTATAATAAGTATTAATAAACTGTGAGTGAAACAGCAAAGCCACTGTCCCCCCATCTTTAGTTTTTTACTCTGTAAAAGACTGATTTTTGTGAGTGAAAGGTTAAGTGGAAGTGATTGTAGTTACAGTAGTGTGTAATGAGGTGAAGTAGAGCTCGAGCTGACGTAACTTTTCATTCGTTAAGTGAATATTGAGGTTGAGAAGGGACAGTCTTTCTCCCCTGTGATATAACGTGGTTGTGTAGTGACGTTTGTGTGTATTATGTAGTGACGTTAGTGCTGTAATGTTATGGAGTGTTGTATAGTTAGTGCATGTCTGTATAGTGTTCTAGTAATATTAATTGCAATGTTGTTATTTCAGGGCGACGCTAGCAGCACTCTCCAGCTTCCTGGATGCCTTTCAGAAGATTGCTGACGCTGCCACCAGCACACGAGGTAATTTGTATACCACACTCTTCAATTTTTTTTTTACCCTGTAAGGGAAACGTAATATATTTTGACCGCTAATTTCAAAGATTTACAGATTGTATACATTTAAAAAAGCTTATGTCCTTGGCATCATGTACGATGGTTGAGGATGTTAAGTACATGTATGTATGTGTCGGTGTTTGGGGGGGGGGGTGCTCGCGTGAGCGCGCTATGGCTACAGGGGTTGAGTCTCTTGGCCCCTGATCTTCGCTAGATGCTACTGGGTTCTCTCTCCTGGCTTCGAGAGCCTTATCGTGCCACTCCATTGTCAAGGTCGTTCCACATCCTGGCTAAGACTGAAGGAATACTTCCCAACATCCCTGGAACTCTTGTGTTTTCAGCTTCCAGCTGTACTCTTGTTCCGATTCCGTCTCTCAAACGTCTCCACCCTATCAATTCCTCTCGGTATTTTGTATGTTATAATATCACCTCTAGTAATTTTTTCCTTTTATGTGATCAGGTTTAGTTCCCTTAATCTCTCTGTTTAGGACATACCCTATACTTTCCAGACTAATCTTGAAATGCCTGACATGGTACGAGTTCCATTCTTTTACTGCATATTCCAATATAAGTCTGACATATGCTGTCTACAGTGTCGTTAATAACTCTTTCCTGTAAACTAATCTTAGGTCTGCCAGACGCGCATTTTCCTCATCAGTTAAATAACAAAAAGGCACAATACCGTGACTGGAACGATACACAAATAACCATTGGACCTTGTCAATGGTCCAAGTCGGACCGAAACGTCGTCGTAAGCTTCTCTCTTTTATGTGCGGGTTATTTGTGTATCATTCCTCAGCAGTTATTTGCTTGTGTGCCTCGGGCCATATGCTCGGTACAGTTCTCACGCCGAGGTCCTTCTATTTGAGCGAGGTTTGCAGCCTTTGCCCCCCGAACTTGTACCCCATCTCTGGTCTGTTTTGCTCATCCCTAATCTTAATAACATTGCAGTTGTTGGGGTTAAATTCTAGTAGCTACTTCTCGGACCAGACCTGCAGCCATCCAGGTCCATTTGTAGTATTTCCTTGTCACCTGTGTGTATTCTTGTCATTAGTTTCGCATCTGTGAACAGGGATGCCTTTGCCTCTATCCCGTCCATTGTTATTCAAGTACGTATATAAGAAATAGTGGAAGATTGAGACACTTATGCAGCATATGGGAATCTTTATTCAGGAAACGTTTTGCCACACAGTGGCTTCATCAGTCCAATACAAAGAGGAAGGCGTAAGGAGAGGAGGAGTATGAGGTAATCAGTCCCTCAACCTGGAGTCTGTGTTCAGTCCAACAATCTTGTAGAACCATTCATCACACACAAGAAATAGTACCGGTCCTAGTAGCGATCCTTGAGACCCTACTCGTCACTAGCGCCCATTCCGACAACGCCTCTTGGGTAATAACTCATCGTTTCCTTCTTGTGAAGTATTCCTTGTTCCACTGTAGTGCCTTCCCTGTTATTCCTGTCTGCTTTTCTAGCTTTTGTCTCACTCTGTTGCGTGATAGTGTCAAAAGCCAGTCTAAAAGTATGTAATCTCCATACCTCTCTCTTTCTTCTGTTTCTGTTACCTTGTCGTGGAACATCTGGGAAGCCATGCTGATTGTCATGTATGAACACACACTTTCAAGGTTCTCCACCATTCTTCTCCTGATACTAATCCATAACTTTGCATACTATGCATGTCGGTAACACCGGCCCTGTAGTTCAACCCTGCCTGTCTATCCTTTTTTTTAAATATTGGGATTACATTTATTTGCTGTCTCTCTCACCTCGGGTAGTTGCGCTTTGTCGATTAACTTATTAAAGATTGTTGCGTGTGTGTGTGTACTCGCCTATATGTGGTTGCAGGGGTCGATTCATGGCTCCTGGCCCCGCCTCTTCACTGGTCGATACTAAGTCACACTCCCTGCTCCATGAGCTTTATCATCCCTCTTCTTAAAGCTGTGTATAAAACTTGGCTCCACTACTTCACTCTCCAGTTTATTCCACTTCCTGACAACTCTTAAGGCTAAAGAAATACTTCCTAACATCTGTGGCTCCCATATGCTACAGCGGTTATTTGGTTGATGTGCGCCTCGGGGTATGTGCTCGGTATTATACTCGCCCCCAAGATCTTTTATCTTGAGTGAGGTTTGTAGTCTTTGGTCACCTAGACTGTATTCTGTCTGCCGTCTTCTTTGACCTTCCCCAATCTGCATGACTTTACACTTGGTGGATTAAACTCCAGAAGCTGTGTGTACACTCGCCTAATTGTACTCGCCTAATTGTGGTTGCAGGGGTCGAGGCTCAGCTCCTGGCCCTGCCTCTTCACCGACCGCTACTAGGTCCTCTCTCCCCCTGCTCCATGAGCTTTATCATACCTCGTCTTAAAACTATGTATAGTTCCTGCCTCCACTACATCGCTTGCCAGACTATTCCACTTCCTAACTACTCTATGACTGAAGAAATACTTCCTAACATCCCTTTGACTCATCTGAGTCTTCAGCTTCCAATTGTGACCCCTTGTTTGTGTCCCATCTCTGGAACATCCTGTCTCTGTCCACCTTGTCTATTCCACGCAGTATTTTGTATGTCGTTATGTCTCCCCTGACCCTCCTGTCCTCCAATGTTGTCAGACCGATTTCCCTTAACCTTTCTTCATAGGACATTCCCCTTAGCTCTGGAACTAGCCTTATTGCAAACCTTTGCACTTTCTCTAATTTCTTGACGTGTTTGACCAGGTGTGGGTTCCAAACTGGTGCTGCGTACTCCAGTATGGGCCTGACGTACAGTGTATAAAGTCTTGAACGATTTCTTACTGAGGTACCGGAGCGCTTTTCTCAGGTTTGCCAAGCGCCCATATGCCGCAGCAGTTATCTGGTTAATGTGTGCTTCTGGCGATGTACTTGGTATTATACTCACTCCTAGGTCTTTCTCCTTGAGTGAGGTTTGCAGCCTTTGGCCTCCTAGCCTATACTCTGTCTGCGGTCTTCTTTGCCCTCCTCCAATCTTCATGACTTTGCATTTGGCGGGGTTAAATTCTAAGAGCCAGTTTCTGGACCACACATCCAGCCTGTCCAGGTCTCTTTGTAGCCCTGTCTGGTCCGTGTCTGATTTAATTCTCCTCATTAACTTCACGTCATCTGCAAACAGGGATACTTCTGAGTCTATCCCTTCCGTCATGTCGTTCACATATACCAAGAATAGCACTGGTCCCAGGACTGACTCCTGTGGGACCCCGCTCGTCACTGGCGCCCACTGTGATACCTCATCATGGACCATGACTCGCTGTTGCCTCCCTCTTAGGTATTCTCTGATCCATTGCAGTGCCCTTCCTGTTATACGTGCCTGTTCCTCTAGCTTCTGTACTGATCTCTTGTGAGGAACTGTGTCGAAGGCCTTCTTGCAGTCCAAGAAAATGCAATCAATCCACCCCTCCCTCTCATTTCTTACTTCAGTTACCTTGTCGTAAAACTCTATTAGGTTTGTGACACAAGATTTGCCTTTCATGAATCCGTGCTGGCTGTCGTTTATAATCTTGTTCCGCTCCAGGTGCTCCACCAGTCTCCTCCTGATAATCTTTTCCAAGACTTTGCATACTATACATGTTAGTGACACTGGTCTATAATTTAGTGCTTCACTTCTGTCTCCCTACTTAAAGATGGGGACTACATTTGCCTTCTTCCATACTTCAGGTAATTGCCCAGTTTCAAGGGAAGTGTTGAAGAGTTTGGTTAGTGGCACACAGTGTCCCTGCTCCCTCTAAGGACCCACAGAGAGATGTCTGGTCCCACCGCCTTGGAGGTATCAAGGTCACTTAGGAGTTTCTCCACCTCTCCTCAGTTGTGTGTAATTCATCCAACACTTGTTGGTATATCCCTTGTTGCTGTATGCCACTGTTTTGTCTTCCCGTTGTCCCTTCAGCCTCCACTGTAAATACTTCCTGAAATCTCGTGTTGAGCTCCTCGCATACCTCCTGGTCATTTCTTGTGAGCTCCCCACCTTCTTTCCTCAGCCTGATTACCTGGTCCTTGACTGTTGTCTTCCTCCTGATGTGGCTGTAGAGTAGTTTTGGGTCAGACTTGACTTTCGATGCTATGTCATTTTCATACTGCCGCTGTGCCTCCCTTCTTATCTGTGCATACTCGTTTCTGGCTCGTCGACTAATCTATTCTCCCGAGTCCTTTGCCTTCTGTACTTTTTCCATTCTCTAGAGCACTTAGTTTTTGCCTCCCTGCACCTTCGGGTAAACCAAGGGCTCATTCTGTCCTTCCCATTATTTCTGTTACCCTTGGGAACAAACCTTTCCTCTGCCTCCTTGCATTTTGTTGTTACAAAGTCCATCATTTCGTTTACTGATTTTCCTACCAACTCCTGTTCCCACTGAACCTCCTGCAGGAAGGTCCTCATTCCTGTGTAGTCCCCCCATTTATAGTTTAGCTTTTCCCTTTCTACTCCTGTTACCCTCTCCACTTTTAGCTCCATGATGTATTCAAAGCTCATAACTATGTGGTCACTAGCTCCAAGGGGCCTTTCATATGTGATGTGCTCAATGTCTGAACCACTCAGGGTGAACACGAGGTCCAGTCGTGCTGGTTCATCCTCCCCTCTCTCTCTCTGGTAGTATCCCTAACATGTTGGTGCATGAGATTTGCCAGCACCACATCCATCATCTTGGCTCTCTGTTTCGGGACCCCCGTGTGGCTCCAAGTTTTCCCAATCAATCTCCCAGTGATTGAAGTCGCCCATGACTAGTAACTTCGCTCTACTTGAGTGGGCCCTTCTTGCCACCTCAGCTACAGTGTCCACCATTGATCTGTTGCATTCATCATATTCCTCTCTTGGCCTCCTGCAGTTCTGTGGTGGGTTATACATAACTGCCATGACTCCCTTGTGTTCCCCTGACTGAACTGTACCTACTATGTAATCCCTTTCTCCAATCTCGTCCATACCTTCCATTTCTTGATAAGCCCACCGGTTTTTTATTAGTAGT